GGGGGATTCTGCTGCTGTTGCTTGAGTAATAATAATAATAAATAGTAGTCCATGTTTGTGTGCAGTTTTATTTTCTCTGAAGAAACAGTTGGCAGGTGGGCACTCTTGTGTGTTCTTCTCTTTTACATTCTTGTCATTGTCCTCATCTGTTCCTTCCAAAGTGTAGCTGTTGTGGCGTGGACTTGCGGGAAACTACCATTTATGGATGGTTGGCGGGTACTATGGTGTGGTGTGCTCTATCTTTCCTATCAAACATCTGTTGCTAGTGGTTGGAGGGCGCCACTGGTAGGTCCTTCTTCTCTTTTCCCCAGCACTAAATGGCCTTTGTTATGTTAATGTGCTTCTGGTTACTGAAAGAAGCGTCTTATCTTTATCTCTCCCCTCCGTCTTACCTTTTTATGCTGCTCTAGTAATACTAAATCTTCTGCATTTACATGACCTATTTGTGTTGCAAGTGTCCTAGAACTGTTACTAAAGAAAAAGCGAACAAAAAGCCCACAATTCCGTTCAACTTTGAAGTGACCACAATTTTGTTTGTGCGCCGCAGGTGAGGAGGGTCAAGACGCTGGCGGGCTGCTCCGCGAGTGGTACATCATCATCTCCCACGAGATCTTCAACCAGAACTACGCCCTGTTCCTGACCTCGCCCGGCGACCGCGTCACCTACAGCATCAACCCGTCGTCCCACTGCAACTCGAACCACCTGAGCTACTTCAAGTTTGTGGGGCGCATCATCGCTAAGGCGGTGTACGACAACAAGCTGCTGGACTGCTACTTCACGCGCTCCTTCTACAAGCACATGCTGGGCCTGGCCGTCAAGTACATGGACATGGAGAGCGAGGACTACACCTTCTACCAGGGCATGGTCTTCCTGCTGGAGAACTCGGTGGAGGACCTGGGCTACGACATCTTCTTCAGCACAGAGGTGAGTTGTGTGATAATTGGTTTTTTCTTTTCTTCTCTCGCAAATTTTTCTCTGTCTCACGTGCCTTGGTGTCTTGTGTGGAAGGTTTTTGGAGTAAATATCATTTGAACAATTATGTGAGCATGTCTTAGAGCTTAATGTGTCCCAAATTATTTATTTCCATTTCCGTCACAATGTGATGCATATTCTGTAGTTTTTGCTCAGTGCCTCTGACAAAAATAGTCCAGTAGGCTGTTAGTATCTGGCCATGGACCCCATGAGGTCTGCCTCATGATTTGGATTGCTGTTATGTGCACAATATTTTTTTTATCAGTGTATTTTCTGCTATACTCATGTTTGCCTTATAAAGTGTGGTATTGTATGATCTTGTATAATGTCGTATGGTCTGGGTGTCTGAATATGTAATGAATCTTTTCCTGAGAAGAATCTTTTTTTGAGAAAAGGAAGAGTAGAGAGCTTGCAGTCTGAGAACAACATATCCTCTGTTGTGAGGACTTGTCCAGTTAAAGACTGCTACAGTAATTGAATAGTTTGATCTCTTGTGGCTGAACTGCTTCACAGGCAACTGGCCGGTCTTTCTGTCTGACATGCCATTTGGTGGCTTAGCATACTAAATAACATTTCTAACATTTCCATCAGAAAAATATAAAATTGGTCTTTTCTTCTCTTATAGCAATTTATTTGTCTTACAGGTCTTGATGTCTTAAGGAAGGGTTTTAGAGTAAATGTCATTTGAATGAATATGTGAGCACGTCTTAGAGCCACCAGGGAGTGGACTCTATGGTTGTGATCTTACTTTATTATTAATATTAGAATTTATTACTGTGTCCCCAATTATCTCCATTTCGATCACAATGTGGGGCATATTCTATAGTTTTTGCCAAATGCCATTGACCAAAATACCTTTCCATATACCATTAGTATCTTGCCAGGGATCTGATCTGGTCTAGCAAATGTTTTGGTGTTTTAAAGTTCTGGCAATAGGTTTTAAAAATTTATTTAAATCGCTATGTACTAAGCACAATTTCTATTAAAAAAACCAGTGTATTTTTTGCTTTACACATATTTGCCTTATAAAGTGATCTTGTATAGTCTTGTATGATCTGAATGTCTGAGTACATAGTGAATCTTTTCCTGAGAAAAGGAAGAGTAGAGAGTTTGCAGTCTGAGAACAACATATCCTCTGTTGTGAGGACTTGTCCAGTTAAAGACTGCTACAGTAATTGGATAGTTTGATCTCTTGTGGCTGAACTGCTTCACAGGCAACTGGCCAGTCTTGCTGTCTGACATGCCGTTTGGTGGGATTAGCATACTGAATAATATTTCCATTAGGGGAAAATAAAAAATGTATAAAATTAGTCTTTTTTTAATTTATAAGAATCTATTTGTCTTACAGGCCTTTTTGTCTTGTGGAAGGTTTTTAGAGTAAATGTCATTAGAATGAATATGAGAGCACGTTCTAGAGCCTCCAGGGTGTGAGCGCTGTGGTTGTTATCTTACTTTATTATTAATATTAGAATTTATTAGTGTGTCCCCAATTATTTTCATTTCTGTCACAAAACGTGGTGGATATTCTTTAGTTTTTTACCCAATACCTTTGACCAAAATACCTTTCAATATACAATTAGTGTCTGGCCGGGGATCTGATCTGGTCCAGCATATGTTTTGGTGCTCTAAAGTTCTTGCAACAGGTTAAAAAAAATTATTTGGATTGCTGATGTGCGCTAAGAAAAAATAAGTGCATTTTTTGCTTTACACATATATTTTGTCTCATAAAGTGATATTGTATGATCTTGTATAGTGCCATATGGTCTGGATGTTTAAATACGTAATGAATCTTTTCTTGAGAAAAGGAAGAGTAGAGAGCTTGCAGTCTGAGAACAACATATCCTCTGTTGTGAGGACTTGTCCAGTTAAAGACTGCTACAGTAATTGGATAGTTTGATCTCTTTTGGCTGAACTGCTTCACAGGCAACTGGCCAGTCTTGCTGTCTGACATGCCATTTGGTGGGATTAGCATACTGAATAATATTTCCATAAGGGGAAAATAAAAAATTTATAAAATTAGTCTTTTTTTTATTTATAAGAATCTATTTGTCTTACAGGCCTTTTTGTCTTGTGGAAGGTTTTTAGAGTAAATGTCATTAGAATGAATATGAGAGCACGTTCTAGAGCCTCCAGGGCGTGAGCGCTGTGGTTGTTATCTTACTTTATTATTAATATTAGAATTTATTAGTGTGTCCCCAATTATTTTCATTTCTGTCACAAAACGTGGTGGATATTCTTTAGTTTTTTACCCAATACCTTTGACCAAAATACCTTTCAATACACAATTAGTATCTGGCCGGGGATCTGATCTGGTCCAGCATATGTTTTGGTGCTCTAAAGTTCTTGCAACAGGTTAAAAAAAATTATTTGGATTGCTGATGTGCGCTAAGAAAAAATAAGTGCATTTTTTGCTTTACACATATATTTTGTCTTATAAAGTGATATTGTATGATCTTGTATAGTGCCGTATGGTCTGGATGTCTAAATACGTAATGAATCTTTTCTTGAGAAAAGGAAGAGTAGAGAGCTTGCAGTCTGAGAACAACATATCCTCTGTTGTGAGGACTTGTCCAGTTAAAGACTGCTACAGTAATCGGATAGTTTGATCTCTTGTGGCTGAACTGCTTCACAGGCAACTGGCCAGTCTTGCTGTCTGACATGCCATTTGGTGGGATTAGCATACTAAACAATATTTCCATTAGGGAAAAATAAAATTAGTATTTTCTTCTGTTATAAGAATTTATTTGTCTTACAGATCTTGATGTCTTAAATAAGGTTTTTAGAGTAAATGTCATTTGAATGAATATGTGAGCTCGTCCTAGAGTCACAAGGGCGTGGGCGTTTTAGTTGCGATCTTTATTATTAATATTATAATTTATTAGTGTGTCCCCAGTTCTTTTCTTTTCTGTCACAAAATGTGGTGCATTTGCCCAATGCTTTTGACGGAAATACCTTTCAATATACCACTAGTATCCTGCCTGGGATCTATCTGGTCCAACAAATGTTTTGGTGCTCTTAAGTTCTTGCAACAGGTTTTTTAAAATTTATTTTAATCGCTGGTATGTACTATGCGTAATCTCTAGGAAAAAAACTAGTTTTTTTTTTTGCCGTACACATATTTGCCATATAAAGTGATCTTGTATGGTCTTGTATAGTCTTGTGTGATCTGAATGTCTGAGTACATAGTGAATCTTTTCCTGAGAAAAGGAAGAGTAGAGAGTTTGCAGTCTGAGAACAACATATCCTCTGTTGTGAGGACTTGTCCAGTTAAAGACTGCTACAGTAATCGGATAGTTTGATCTCTTGTGGCTGAACTGCTTCACAGGCAACTGGCCAGACTTTCTGTCTGACATGCCGTTTGGTGGGATTAGCATACTAAACAATATTTCCATTAGGGAAAAATAAGATTGGTCTTTTCTTCTCTTATAAGAATTTGTCTTACAGGTCTTGATGTCTTAAGGAAGGTTTTTAGAGTAAATGTCATTTGAATGAATATGTGAGCACGTCTTAGAGCTACCAGGGCGTGAGCACTGTGGTTGTGATCTTACTTTATTTATTAATATTATTATTTATTAGTGTTATCTTGCTAGGGATCTGATCTGGTCCAGCAAATGTTTTGGTTCTCTTAAGTTCTCGCAGCAAGTAAAACAAAATAATTTTTGATTACCGATATGCACTATGCGCAATATGTAGAAAAAACTAGTGTAGGCTTATTTTTGGCTTTACACATATTTGCCTTATAAAGTGATATTGTATGATTTTGTATAGTGTAGTATGTTCTTGATGTTTGAATACGTAATGAATTTTTTCTTGAGAAAAGGAAAAGTAGAGAGCTTGCAGTCTGAGAACAACATATCCTCTGTTGTGAGGACTTGTCCAGTTAAAGACTGCTACAGTAATCGGATAGTTTGATCTCTTGTGGCTGAACTGCTTCACAGGCAACTGGCCGGTCTTTCTGTCTGACATGCCATTTGGTGGGATTAGCATACTAAACAATATTTCCATTAGGAAAATAAAATTAGTCTTTTCTTCTTTTAGAAGAATTTATTTGTCTTGCAGATCTTGATGTCTTAAGAAAGTTTTTTAGAGAGTAAAAGTTAATTGAACGATAATGTGAGCACGATTCAGAGCTTAATGTGTCCTGAATTATTTATTTCCGTTTCCGTCACAATGTGATGCATATTCTGTAGTTTTTGCCTTGTACCTGTGACAAAAATACTCTTCAGTATGCTGTTAGTGTCTGACCAGGACCGCATCAGGTCTGCCACATGATTTGGGATTGCTGATATGTGCTCAATATTTTTTTTTAATCAGTGTATTTTCTGCTATTGTTTGACTTGTAAAGTGTGATATTGTATGATTGATCTTTTTTTAGTGTTGTATGGTCTGGATGTTGAATACATAGTGAATATTTTCCTGAGAAAAGGAAGAGTAGAGAGCTTGCAGTCTGAGAACAACATATCCTCTGTTGTGAGGACTTGTCCAGTTAAAGACTTCTACAGTAATTGGATAGTTTGATCTCTTGTGGCTGAACTGCTTCACAGGCAACTGGCCGGTCTTGCTGTCTAACAAACTGCATGGTGGAACAGGCATACGAAACAAAATTTCCAGTTTTTGAAGTGAATTTCCCAAATTGTTAATTTGTTTCTGTCACAGTGTGGTGCATATATTATTCTGTGATTTTCGCCCAGTACCTCTACAAGTTAGGCATTTCTGGATATTGATCTATGGTTCATGACAACCTGCATGTTATTTGAAGTACCACCATGAGATCTTTCCTCACCTCAATTTTAACCTGAGCCTGAACAACAACAACAAACTGTGGATGGTTGGCGGGTGCTCTGGTGGTATGGTTTGCTTTTTCTTTCCTATCAAACATCTATCGTCTTTATCTCCCCTCCTTTTTTATATTTGTTACTCTCTTGTAACACCTCTAATCTTCTGGTGCTCATACGACCTTATTGTATTGCAACCACCATAAAACCTCTACTAAAACTAAACAATCTCTCCTCCTTCTTTTTTATGTTTGTTTCTCTCTTGTTTTATTTCTGATTTACGGCACTTATATGACCTTATTGTGTTGCGAGCGCTGTAATTACCCCTACTAAAACTAAAAACTTAAAACACCCCCCCCCCAACTGTGTTGAAAGTGTCGTAAAACTTACTAAAAACTAAAAATCCCCTCTGTGTTCAGATCCAAGAGTTTGGCGTGACGGAGACGCGGGAGCTGGTGCCCAACGGCTCCAACCTGGTGGTGACGGACGACAACAAGCGCGAGTACGTGAAGCTGGTGTGCCAGATGAAGATGACAGGGGCCATCCGGCAGCAGCTGAACGCCTTCCTGGAGGGCTTCTATGACATCATCCCCAAGAAACTGGTCTCCATCTTCACGGAGCAGGAGCTGGAGCTGCTCATCTCGGGCCTGCCCACCATCGACATCGACAACCTCAAGGCCAACACGGAGTACCACAAGTACCAGGCCACCTCGCTACAGGTAGGGGGAACACAGCCAGTTTTGTTTGTGTACCTGTCGTCCACCCCAATGTTGGCGAGCATGTGTAATTTTTTCTCATTTTGTCTTGTTTTGTTTTTATTTTTTAAACAGTTTTTTTTGTTGCATACCTTTACCTGAATGTTGGTAAGTTGTTCTTTTCTTTAAAGGGCAGTTTGGTTTGGGGGGTGCTGTGGTGGGGTTTGCTCTTTCTTACCTATCCAACATCTGTCATCCTTATCTCCCTTTGTGGGTGGTTGGCGGGTGCTCTGGTGTGGTTTGCTTCTTCTTTCCTATCAAACATCTATCGTCCTTATCTCCCCTTCTTCTTTTTTATGTTTGTTACTCTCTTGTAACACCTCTAATCTTCTGGCGCTCATATGACCTTATGCAGTTGCGAGCGCCGTAAAACCCTTTACTAAAACTAAACTAAAACTATCTCCCCTCCCTTCCTTTTTGTGCGTTTATTACTTTCTTGTAACACCTCTTATCTTCGGCACTTATTGTTGTTTTTCTTTGTTTTTGTTTTGTTTTGTCTTGTTTTTATTTTTTGGTTTGTTTTGTTTTTTGTTGCATAATTTCCTCAAATGTTTTTAAGTTTGTCTTTGTTTTCTTTTCTTTTAAGGGTAGATGGGATGGGGTAGTGTCAATAATGTTTTGCAATTTGGCACACACTCACATTTCTGTGAGGGGGTGGGCGGGTGCTCTGGTGTGGTTTGCTCCCTCTTTCCTATCAAACATCTATTCTCCTGATCTCTCCTCCTTTTTATGTTTGTTACTCTCTTGTAACATCTCTAAATCTTCGGCACTTATATGACCTCATTGTGTTGCAAGTGCCGCAAAAGTCTTACTTAAAAAAGAAAATTAAAAGACACACACACACCCTTTTAAAAAAAAGTTCATTCCCGAGTCTTTCTGCTGAGATGTGGATCCCTCTCAGCCCGGCTTGGCTGTGACAAGCAAAGTCGAAGCCCTCCTTCTGAATGATCTAAATTCTGTCAATGCTGTGTGTTTGTTTTTCTGCGTATTTTAAAAACTTCTGCCCATATTGTCAGTGGGTGGTTGGTGAGTGCTCTGATGTGGTTTGCTCCTACTTTCCTATGAAACATCTATCATCCTTATCTCTCTCTTTTTTTGGTGTTTATTAGTTGGTGGTTGGCGGGTGCTCTGGTGCGGTTTGCTTTTTCTTTCCTATAAAATATCTATCGTCCTTATCTCCCCTCCTTCTTTTTTATGTTTGTTACTCTCTTGTAACACCTCTAATCTTCTGGCGCTCATATGACCGTATGTAGTTGCGAGTGCTGTAAAATCTCTACTAAAACGTTTTGTGTTTTTTACTCTCATATAATATCTCTAATCTTCGGCACTTGTATGACCATATTGTGTTGCAAGTGCTGTAGAACTCTTGCTAAAACTTTTTAAAAATCCAGACATATTCTCCTCAGATCCAATGGTTCTGGCGAGCCTTGCGTTCGTTTGACCAGGCGGAGCGTGCCAACTTCCTGCAGTTTGTCACGGGGACGTCCAAAGTGCCGCTGGGAGGCTTTGGGAACCTGGAGGGCATGAATGGCACGCAGAAGTTCCAGATCCACAGAGACGATCGCTCCACTGACCGCTTGCCCTCGGCCCACACCTGGTAAGCTTGTAAACATTTTGGTCTGTCCAGTTAATTTATATCATATTTTGTTGTACGAATCCAATGTCACTTTGTCACCCTCTAAGCCTGTAGGCTTCGGGTCCGTCCAGTAAAGGAAAATATTTTTTAAAATGAATCTGATATAGCTTTGTCACCTGGTAAGGTGGTATACTTCAGGTCTGTCCAGTAAAGAAAAATATTTTTGTTATGTGAATCTGATATAGCTTTGTCATGGAGAATTATTAAGAGGGGGTGCTGCAAAATAAGTCTATCTCAGCTAATACCACTCCTATGGAGCTTATATTTGGTGTGGACGATTATATGGCAATGGAGATTTGTTAACAGTTGTGAAAAAAGAAATTACTGATTTGGTTACCATGGAAATGGCGGCCATATTGGATTTTAGAGACATAATGATGTACAAATTTTTCACCTTATTTATAAACAGATTAGGCTCATATTTAGCATGCACACTTACAAGACAAAGATAAAACTTTCTGTAAGAGGAATTTTTTATATCTACTTTAGTTTTTATTTTATGGCACTTTCAAATCCGGCTCTAGCAAAATAACGGAAAACCTTGAAAAATCGAGTTTTTCAAGCTCACAGATTAAAAACCAACACATTTATCAGTAATTCCTCTTACAAAAAGCTAGATTTGTATGGTTTCAACATTCTAAGTTTGATTGAAATCGAGTCAGAAATAGAGCAGAAAAATAGTACCAACCGTGAAAAAAATAGAATGCTTATTTTTGGACAAAATTGGCAAATATTTTCTCTAAAAGAGACTTGACCGTACGCTTTTAAATCCCCCAAACACCACTTTAGGGTGCACGGAGGCGTATGTACTTTCTAGATATTGTTCAGGACATGTTCAGGAATCTTAAAGTGTAATTATCACAGTTTGTGTCATTTGGCCCCAAACCGGCTTTTCTAACTGCAGCACCACCCCTTAATGAGTTGGGGGGGGGGGGGGGGGGGCTACTACACCTAGAGGCTATCTCGCTTATTACTGGACCGATTTTTACCAAATTTCACACATATAACAAGCATATTAAGGAGTCTTAAAATCTACAATCAAATTTGAGAAAAAAGTTTCGTTTCCATGGATACGCCGCCATATTGGATTTTATTGACATGTCTTACGTAATGAATACCGCACTTATCGCTCATGGAAATTGATTGTTTTTTTTTGCATGTGTGTTTACAAACATTAGATCTAAATATTTGTCTGTTGTTTTTTTCCTAATCGAATTAGACAATTTTTAATGAATTTTTTCCTGAGGTAGCATTCAAGTTTGCGAAAAATCCGTGAAAATCCACACTCTAGACACCACCAACAAAAATCAATTCCATATATAAAAAATTCAACAGACAAGTTTTTAGTATTACCTCTTCTCTTCATTCTGTGAAAATTTCATGAAGATTGGATGAAAAATGGTGGAGTTATTCAAAAAAGTATAGAGAAAAGTCGCATTTTGAGAAAACGTCCGATAAAGAAAAATAAAATACTGACTTTATGAGGAAATGGCGGTTACAAACATGCCCGGTATGGGAACAAATACGGTTTTTGGGGGTTCTTATGCCATGAAATAGTTGTAGGAGAGGCTGAGAAAGCTAAAAATGCCTACAACTCAAATTCCATGATTTTGAGCCGAATTTTGATTTTGGGGGTGTAGCCCCCCCTCCCCCCTTAATAGTATGAACAGATGCTTCAGGTAACTGCAGAGTGCGTTAGTACGGTTGATCCTGCTTTAACGGCCACCTGTCCCAAGGCAATCACCTGTAGAAACGACCACTTCTCACCCCCCCCCCCCCCCCTTGCATAAAAAAAAAATTGTAACGACATTGTCCAAGACATTCAATCTCTATATCTATTATCTTTTTGTGGTGGCCGAATTTTGCTATTCATAAGGCTTATTAATGGCTGCATCGATCGACTTGAGGTTTTCGCCAAAAGATTCTTTAAAATATTCTCCAGAAATATTATATTTGTGAAAGTTCGTCATGCCCTTTGTTTTTTTCAATTTTGAGACAGTTTTGCTGCAAAAAGCTAAATTTCTTTATTTCGCTGATCGCTTTTGTAGGCCGACGCTTCTGTCTCTGTAATTTTAGAAAATCCGGAGGTGATATTTCTCAAGGCGCATTTTGTTTTGAGAGTATAGATCTAGACCTTATAATTTTTTAATCTCTCAAGATTTATTGTCCCATTCCAATAGAGTGTAAATATAGTAGGCCAATGACTTTTAGTTGATATTAAAGCACCGATCATCCCTTTCATCGAAAGGGGGCCCAGCTCGTTATATTATATTTGTGAAAGTTCGTCACTTTGGTCGCCTAAAACTTCTGAACCACTTAACTTTGGAATTTGAAAAAAATTATGCTGGTTCAGAATCATTTAAGGGGTGCACAGTTACGTTAAGGAGTCAGAAGTCACTGTAGTCTAATTTTCAGTTTTTCATTAGTTTTGTTTCGATCTAAACTTGGGAAAGTCCGTCGTCTAAGACGCCATTGTAAACAAGTGAGGCTTCCATTCACAAATATAGTCGAACCTGCCCTGACGGCCACCTCTATAAGACGGCCACCTGTACAAACGGACACTTTCCATTTCCCCCCTTGCGTTTTTTCTATATAATTTAACTGTGTAAAACGGGCTCCTGTCCAACGCGGCCGCGGCCACCATATTTCAACACCCAACCCCTATCACACTAAGCAATAACACCTGTCTTAGACGGCCGCCTTAGTGACTCCATTGCGTTTTGTCATAAATTGTGCATTGGTCCCTGGCGTTGTGGGTGAGCCGCCATAATTCAATCATCTGTCGTTGTTGTTAGGTAGTCCCTCCAACCAATCAGGTTGCCTAGTCCCCTCCCACTGTTGACCAATAGCTACCAATTTTCAGCTGCTGGTGAGGTAAGCGTGTGATCCCTCATAACCCATAAGCCCCGCCCAGAACTCATACGCAAATCGTAAGTGAGATGAGTGGTCACTGCTTACCCAGTCTGTAACAAAATAACAATAGACGTCAACATGAACTTGTGACAGAAGCGTCGCTCGTTCTCCGAGTGATAGCGTCCCATGTGTTTGTTTTAACAGGGCACTCAGTCTTCCTCGTCTGATACATTTCGTTTTACTGTCACCTTTGCGCAAAATCAGCAACAAAATAAAAAGTACAAACAATACACAAACCACCAACAACAAAAACAACAGCAATGCGGTTACTTTCGATTGGGACCTCAGATGGGAATGGTTTGTTTTCTTAATCTTGATCAGTCCTGCCTAAGACAGCCACCTGTCTTAAATGGCCACTTTTCTCCTTGACAATGGGTGGCCGTCTTACACAGGTTTGACTGTAGTGCACAGTGAATCCACAATTATTTGACGATCAATTCTTTTGAGTCCTTTCATCAGACGGGTACCCAGTTAGTACTTTTATATTGTTTGCCCTCTCCAGTAGCTCTAGAAAAAACAGCAGTTGAAGGCTGAAGGTGTCAAATATCGCAAGTGATTTAAAAAAATTATACTATTGAAAGGTGTCTACTGTGTGTCAAATCTTCAAAGAAGTATTTTTGACTCGCTTGTAATGTTTTTGGACGTGGGTGGTTGGCGGGTGCTCTGGTGTGGTTTGCTTCTTCTTTACTATCAAACATCTATCGTCCTTCTCTCCCCTCCTTTTTTGTATTTGTTACTCTCTTGTAACACCTCTAATATTCGGCAGTTATACGATCTTATTGTGTTGCAAGTGCCGTAAAACTCTTACTAAAACTAAAACATCTTTTTGGAGCAGCAGTGTTTGGAGAGGGCCTCTTATCGACATCACTGGTGTGATTGTCAGTGTCAGTGTCAGGCGGGTACTTGGAGGTGGCCACTGGTAGATCCTACCTCTTTTAGTTCTGTCTGTCTCTCTTACTTTGTCCCAACACTAAATGATGTGGATGTGCCTCTTTTTGCTCAAAGAAGTCAAATGTCTCTCTTGCATCCTGGTCAGCGATATCCCAGTTCCGTGGGTGGTTTGAGGGCGCCACTGATAGATCCTATTTCTTTACTTTCTCCTCTGTTGTTTCTGTCTGTCTGTATGACCATTATTGTGTGGATGTGCTTCTCTTTACTCAAACAAACAAACAAATATCCTTGTTCCTGTCCCCAGCTTTAATCAGCTGGACCTGCCAGCCTACGAGACGTACGACAAGCTCAGGAAGATGCTGCTATTGGCCATCAGCGAGTGCTCCGAGGGTTTCGGCCTTGCATAGAGCAGCAGAGCAAAAAGCACAAGACACGGTGGCAACTGAGGGAAGAGATTGAAGGACGTCGTGCCTGTACAGAGTGAGAGAGAGATAGAGCGAGAGAGAGAGAGAGAGAAAAAAATAATAAAACAGTTTTTCCGGTGTGAACTCCGTCAAGAGTGTGCAAGGAGTCTGCTGACAGCCGACAGATTCGAGATTGGCTGGTGTTACGTGTTGGCACTAACAAGAACAATAGGATGTATAAAAACAAAACAAAAAAAGCACCAGACCTAGACTTGACAGTGACAGTATTTTTGGAGTGTGTGTGTGTGTGTGTGTGTGTGTGTGTGTGTGTGTGTCTTTTGTGAACACCAAGAGAGAAGAAAGAGATGGAGCTTTCAGGTACCCGGCTTTGTGGGTTTTGTTTGATTCATTTTGAAAACTTGACTTTGTAAACTTTAGTTTACCAGCTTGCCCATCTGTTAACAATTTTTTTCTTCTTCAGCGTCTTCGTACTTGAGTTTGGTTCTTTATTTATTTGTTTCCACGCTCTCCCCTTCCTACCCCTTGATTGATTGTGGTACTGAATGAAATTTCCATCAAAAATTGAATGAACGAGCTTTGTGTAATTAAATGTGCAATGCCATGTCCCTTACAGTGAAACCTTTGTGTGTATATATACGTGAGTTTGTGTGCCTGTGTCAAGAATGGGTGATGTGTATGACTTTGAATATGCGTCTGGATTTTTGAAGGAGATAACGCGTGTCATACGTTGTTGAAAGTGGGGTGTTTGTTGACTCATGAAATCTCTCATTCCTTATCTCAACACAAATAAGATGATATTTCCCCCCTTGTGTAATGACCCTTTTGTTTTGATTTTGATCCTGTTTCTGTATGCGCCAGCCCATGAGGTTAAAGTCTTAATGACTGCCTGACTGTCCTGTACTTTTTTGCTTTTGATGTTTTGTTTGTTTGTGTGTGTGGGGTGTTTTTTTTTTTTTTTTCAGGCATTCCACTCTGGTGCTGGGCTTTCGTGTGAAGGGGTGAAGCCCTGAGCTTGTCGTCTATTATTTGCTAATATAAGGCAACACTGACCAAAGTGTGTCTTCATGACTGTGTTTTGATTCATTTTGCTTTCTTTGCCTGGGCCTAGAGCTCAGGTGGTTCCTGATCTGTGCTTGCTCGAGATTATCAAAGGTGGTGGGGGAATGTCAGGTCAGGTCGGGCATTGATTTAGTTTTTCTCTTTGATGGCGAGACTTTGTTCTTTCCTTGAGGTACGTCAGTGGACTTTTTGAAAGATTTATTGTTTGCATATGTTTGTGTGTGTGTGTCTGAGTGTTGGGCAACATGTCCCTCAATGGCTACATTTCAAGATTTCTTTTTGCGAAATCAGCATCTTACCAGGGATTACGATTACTACACCGTGGAGTGACAAGTAGAAGTGGGGGGGAGGATGGGATTGACTACTCAGTGTAAGAGCTCGACATACATCACTTTTCAAAATGGTGTGTGGCTAAGTCTTACAGTAAGCAGTGTAGATGGATACAAAGAAAGATGAAGAGGCAGAGAAAGAAGAATGAATGGGTTGTTTTTTTTCTTTTTTCTTCTTTGTTTTTTTTTGTTTTTTGTTTTTTTTTCGCCCACAGGATTTGGAACAGCTTTTGTAAACTTTGTTGCTCGATTTGGTGTCCTTTCTGTCCTGTGATGGTATGTTGTAGGTTCTTGATTTTGCCGATTGAATTATTGATTAAAGCTATTATGGCCTGAGCCAAGGAGAATATCAATTGTTTCTCTCCTGCTTGTGCTTATTATGACATACAACACAACAACCCCCCCCCCCCTACCACCATCCCCACCCACCCCCCTACCACCATCCCCACCCACAAATTTCTCACTCAATTCAGATATTGCCATAGATTGAAAATACTGGAGTGAACTTTTATTATTATTATTGTTTCCCATGACCGTCAAAGCATTGGTTTACTATTCAGGTCTCCCGCCACTGGATATAGTGGATTTGTTAAAAAAAAGTGCGTGACTTTGAGGAGGTTTTTTTTTGTTCATTAAGGACAGAATGGCTGAAGAGACGGGGGGAAAAGCCCATTGCAAAATTTTTCTTTCATTGATTGACTCTTTATATATATGAATTATTGGCTCAGTGTTGTTAGTTTTGTTGAAACTGAAGCGCTAAGATCCTCATCCTCATCCTTTTCATCGTCATCATCATCATCATCGTGATTATTATCATTGTCATCTCATTTTTCATTTCATGTTGTCACTTTGGTTACTCCTCAACTGTTCCAAGTCTGTAGCTGTAGAACCCTGGGCAGTGAGATCACTTTGCTTACGATAAGATTGTTTGCCTTTGGCTTTTCCATCAAGAAATGGATTCGATGGATTCAATTGGAATTTTTTTAATGACCAGTATCGCAGAACACCATGTCTTTGTTTGAAGGGGTGCTCTCGAAATCTCATTGTCTACAGTTCTAGTTTATAACATTGTGTGTGTGTGTGTGTGTTAATTAATAAGCAGACGTTGGTGGTCCACCACAGGGGGGCGAAGTGTGAGTAGAGAGGGTCCTGGATGTGAGTTGTGAATCTCACTCCACTGTAGGGAACACAAGGAGACTAGCTTTGCGGGATTATTTAAAATAAATGGGAAGTCATCCGAGACTACTACTACGTAGCCGTGAATAAGATGTAGCACACTCTTGTGGGTAGTAAAGACACAAACATATTATGCCTTTTTTTCAGTAGTCCCCCCACCCCCCTTTCCTCCCTACCTCCCACCCTCCCTCCCCCCTCATTCATCAGTTTGTCATTCTTTTTCTCTCCTATTGCGTGTTTATAATATATTTATGATGCTTTCACATTTTTTGAAGTTTCCACGTGGTCTATTGTTCTAATGATTTGTATACGATACATGTATGACTTTGGTGAGAGCTGTTTACCCCACTACAGGAGGCAGCGGCCCTTGGCAGGGGGGGGGCCTGTGTATGTGACACATGTTGTGGAATATTGCTGAACAGTAAATTAATAAATTCACGGTTGACATTATGCATAGGATTGTCTCTTGTTTTTTGTTTTTCAAATTTTGTTGGTGGCCTTGCCCTGTTTCTCTTGTTTTTTTCATATTTGGTGGTGTTATCCTGTTTGTCTCTTGTTTTGTTTTTTCATTTTTTGTGGTGTTGCCGTGTTTGTCTCTTGTTTTTTTTTGGTTTTTTTCATCTTTGGTGGTGTTGCCCTGTACAAATTTTTTTTTTTTACCGGCGTCTGATTTAGTGGTTAGGTGCTTCGCTGTTGCATGTAGAAACCTGAGTTAAATTCCTAAATGGACAGAACAAAAATGTTTTTATTGAGCATCTCCATCTGGGGTTGGCGGGTGCTCCAGTGTGGTTTGCTCCTTCTGTCCTATCAAACACCTTTTGTCCTTGTCTCCCCTTCCCTTTTATATGTTTGTTACTCTCATGCAACACCTCTAGTCTTCTGGCACTCACATGACCTTATGCAGTTGCAAGCGCCGTAAAACCTCTATCGTCCTTATCTCCCCTCCTTCTATTTTGTGTTGTGTGTGTTACTCTCTTGTACCGCCAATCTTCAGCACTTATATGACCTTATTGTGTTGCAAGTGCTGTAAAGCTCATACTAAAATAAAATTTATTATCTTGGATTTTCTGCTAAGATGTATCCCTCTCAGCCCGCGAGATGGGCTTGACATGCAGGTTTGGAAGCTCGCCTCCTAAATGATCTAAGTGGGTGGTTGGCGGGTGCTCTGGTGTGGTTTGCTCCTTCTTTCCTATCAAACGACTATCGTCCTTTTTTCTCCTCCTTTTTTGTGTATGTTATTCTCTTGTAATACATCTATTCTTCGGCACTTATATGACTTTATTGTGTTGCAAGTGCCGTAAAACTCTTACTAAGACTAAACTAAAATGATCTTAAAAAAATTTTGATGCGGGTGTAAAAACATCTACATTTAACAGAAAAGGAAAAAAAACCCTCCAGGATATGCATCGTGGAGCTCAGTTTGCCTTGTTGTACCTGGGGGAAATTGGAAGTGTTTTTGTATGTTGTGTTCCTTCTACTTCTGCTTCTTTTGGAGTGTCTGTCCTGTCAAAATGTTGGTGTGGGTGGTTGGAGGGCCCCACTGGTAGGTCCTACTTCTTTACTTTCCCTCTGTTGTTTCTGTCTGTCTGTCTGTGGGTGTTTGGAGGGTGCTCTGGTGTGGTTTGCTTCTTTCCTATGAAACATTTATTGCCCTGATCTCTCCTTCTTTTTTTGTGTTTGTTACTCTCTTGTAACACCTCTAATCTTCGGCACTTATATGACCTTATTGTGTTGCAAGTGCCGTAAAACTCTTACTAAAAGTAAAGTATGGTGTGGGTGGTTGGAGAGCGCCACTGGTAGGTCCTACATCTTTACTTTCCCTCTCTTGTTTCTGCTCTTTCCCAGCACTAAATGACCGTTGTTGTATCGATATGTTTTTCTTTACTCAAACAAAATTTGTGTTGGTGTTGTCGTGTTGACCAAACCTTTATTGGTGGATGCGTGGTTGGCGGGTGCTCTGATGTGGTTTACTTCTTCTTTCCTATCAAACGTCTATCGTCATTATCTCCCCTCCTTTTTGTGTTTGTTACTCTCTTGTAACACCTCTTATCTTCGGCACTTATATGACCTAATTGCGCTGCAAGTGCCGTAAAACTCTTACTAAAACTAAAACTAAAACCCTCATTAGTTGATGCGCTGGTCTGGTGTGCTCCCTTTTTCCTATCAAACACCTATCGTCCTTACCTCTGCTCTTTTTTGTGTATGTTACTCTCTTGTAATACCTTTAATCTTGGGCACCTAATTGTGTTGCAAGTGCTGTTTAACATTGAAATAAAAGAACCCAAAAAAAATAAAAAATCCCCATTAGATCTATATGTTCCTTTCAGTGTACCATTCAGGGGCCATGCTGGCTTAACATAACGGGTTACTGCTAGGTTTGAGTAAAATAATTGCAGTTATATAGCGCACATCCATGCTCTAGAGCATTCTCTGTGCGCTTTACAACTATTATTACCCCCAGCAGACCCTCTGAGAACACGTAGAAACATTCTCGACTTCCTGGGAAGCATACAGTGCAAGCTGCGGATTTTTAGCGTTCAAGCACTATCAACTATCAAACTGACAAGATCTTTCACTATCTATAGCCGGGTACCCATTCCCACCTGGGTGAAATGAGGAAAATTCGTGCAAAGTGCCTTTCCCAAGGACCCAACGTCGGGCCCCTGACGGGATTCGAACCCACGACCTTACGGTTTCGAGTCCGAGAGCCTAATCACTAGGCCACCGATGCCACTGAAATAATATTAATATGCTGTCGAGCCTGCTCTAACAACCACCTGTCCGAGACAATCACTTGTACGTGGGGGGGTTGGCGGGTGCTCTGGTGTAGTTTGCTCCTTCTTTCCTATAAAAAATCTACCGTCTCTATCTCCCCTCCTTCTTTTTTGTTTGTTACTCTCTTGTAACACCTCTAATCGTCAGCACTTATATGACCGGGCAATGACCTTATTGTGCTGCAAGTGCCCTAAAACTCTTACAAAAACAAAACTAAAACAATCACTTGTACAAAAGACCACTTCCCTCTTGTGTTTTTTCTTTATAATAATGACAGTCCTAGAGTAAGAGAGCCACTAACATTTCCCGTTTCCCTTCCGGCAGAAAGAAGTGTCCTTGCATTGCATTGCAAGGTTTTTATGCAATTAAGATGGAACCATGGGTGGTTGGCGGGTGCTCTAGTATGGTTTGCTCCGTTCTTATTAAACATCTGTCATCCTTACCCCTCCTCCTTTTTGCGTAAGTTACTCTTTTTTAACATATTATAATCTATTATTCGGTATATGATAATGACCTTGTTGCCTTATTGTGTTACAAAAGCCATAAAACTCTTTCAACGGAAAAGAAGAGTTTCTGGCTGGTGGTTGGAGGGCAACACTGGTAGATCTTACTTGATCGTTACTTTCCCTCTTGTCTTTAGGCCATTCCCAAAGGGGGGATTCCGATATAAAAATGTTCTCATGTACAGTAGAATTGTAAATGGGCTGATTTATCAATGTCATGCTTATACTGTGCCGGAACTGCTGCTTTTTCTTTCCTCATCCTTACTATCGTCATTTTGTCCTTGTGAACGTGGGTGGTTGGCGGGTGCTCTGGCGTGGTTTGTTCCTTCTTTCCTATCAAACATCTATCATCATGATCTCTCCTCCTTCTTTTTTGTGTTTGTTGCTCTCTAATAACACCTCTTATCTTCGGCACTTATATGACCTTATTGTGTTGCAAGTGCCGTAAAAGGCTTACTACTAAAACAGTAAAACAAACAATCCTTGTGAACTGCTATTTCCGGGGTGCCTTGACAGTTGAAACAAACTTTGTGCGGCGCTCGCAACTGCATAGGGTCATAATATGAGCGCCAAGGTAGGATGTCTACAGGGCCGTCGAGAGCCAGGTCGGGCCCTGGGGTAGCAATCACCTTCGGGCCCCTCCTCCCCCCTGGCCCCACCCACCCCCACCTGCAATTTAATAACCCAACAAATACAATGTACATAGGCATATATAATCACTTTACTGTAGCATATCTATTACATACCAACATACGCTCTCTCTCGCTCTCTCTCTCTCTCTCTCTCTCTCTCTCTCTCTCTCTCTCTCTCTCTCTCTTTCTCTCTCTTTTCCGCGTGCTTGCGGGGCCCCCCAAACCCCCGGGCCCCGGGGCATTGCCCCCCTGACCCCCTCTCTCGACAGGCCTGGATGTCTACAGAGAAGTCCAAATGGGGAATCAGGCTTACTCTGCTCATCTCTCTAGCCTCAACAGTACAAAGTCTGCTTCGACTATCAAGACACCCCGGAAATGGCAGTTCACAAGAGAGTGACAAACATACAAGAGAAGTAGAGGAAAACAACGATAGTAAAGATGAGGAAGGAAAAAGTGAAAAGCAGCAGTTCCCCCTATGTTTTTCCTGCACAGTATGAGCAAGATATTGATAAAACAGCCCATTGACAATTCTGCTGTGCATAAGAACATGTTAATATCACCCCTTTGGGTATCGCCTAAAGACACTTCAGTCTGTAGCACTGCCCCAGGGGATGGGGGGGGGGGGGGCAGCAGGCAAGGGAAAAAAGCTAAGAACCTATTCCTTTATTGAGTACATCACACACAAAAACGCCGTCCGCATGCGATAGGACGAGTAGAGAGTGATAGTAGCCCCCCTCCCCTCCCTCACACACGCCAAACATACACTCAAACACCCACACGCGCGCGCGCGCGCGCGCACTCACACACACACACACACACACACACACACTCACTCACACACACACACACACACACACACACACACACACACACACACACACACACTCCTCCTCCAGAAAAATAGCTTGACGTTGCGTTTTCCGACGCACCCACGCAGTAATGATTCGAATTGAATACATTTATTTGTATGTTGTGGTGGAATCATACTCTCGTCAGTGTTTGGGCTTATGGAGTTATTAGTACAATGTTAAAGCCTGTTCATTCGACCTGCTTTTGACGAAAAAAAATACACGTACTGAGATATCTTGAATGGAAATCGAGATTTTGGCGATGTAAGGAGGTGGAGTTTGCCTGGTGTTAGAAGTAAAATTAACGAGTAAATGGCCGCCAAGTTTGGTACCTTCCAACGCTGTACCATCCAAAGAAACTGCAAAATTTACATTTTCTTGTGCCTTTGATCAACGTTTTTCAATAAGAACGCAAGAACATGTTACTAATTGGACATAAGAGGCGTTAAGTCCACCCCCCCAACCCCCCAAAAAAATTTTTAAAAAATAAATTAATCGATAAAAATTGCTGAATGGGCATTACTAAAATGTCAGTCTCTTTGACCTCATTATTTTGACGAGCGCCTGATTTCCTTACGATGCCACATATTTTACCCCTCCACTCTCCACAACTACGACATATTTGTGTCTTGTTCTCTGATCTATCGGCACGTTAATACCCATGTCTGGCAGCTGTGGCAGAGGGCAGGGGAAGTA